TGATTTTGACTAGGTTCAAAAGCATGGTAAAGAAGAGCACAATTTTGTCTATTTTTGTTATAGTGATAAAATTATGATTTAAATAAGATAAAATAAAGAAATTTATCCTAAATTACATATATATTTTAAATTCAAGAGCTATTATCCTCTCGGATTCCACTATTAAAAATGTTACATGTGTGATTAATATAACCAATCCTATATAATGTGATTATTAATTGTTTATTTGAGTTATAGTTGTACATAGAAATTTGATTTTAAAGGTAAAACTAAAAAAAAAAATCTTATTATATAAATTTAATATAATTTTAAATAAAATTTTATACTAACTATAATTATATAATTTTTTTTTCTTAAATTCATGAGCTGCTATTCTCTCTAATTACACCACTAAATATATGATATGCATGTGTTATTGATTTTTCAAATAAAAAATATATTCATTAATTATATATATATATATATATATTCTTATTTAATTATTTATTAAATTATGCAACTGTATAAAAGATATTTTAGCAGCCACCTTATTGGACTTAGAAAGCATATTAAAAAAGATCAAGCATAAAAACAAGAAAAATTGATCACAACAAACTATGCTATATAATAATGTATTATACTATACAATCACCCAAAGCTAAAAATTCTCAAATTTCTAATCGGACTGCATGATCTCAAGGCTTTTTGAACCAGGTTCACTAGACATCGTGTCCGACGGGCCATCACTCTCACTGCATTCGCTCAAATTAGCCCACTACGTCATTTTAACCCAAAAGGAGATTAGGAATTTTAGAAGGCACACAGAAGTAAATATATGCATATGGAACATGTGGGTACACGACACACAACCAACGGCTAAGCTAGGGTTGTGATTAACCTAAACCCTAAGGAATGCAAATGAATAATATGAAGAAAAGGTAGAAGAATATGAAGAAAAACAATGAGAAGAAGAGAATGAAGGGGAAGAGACTCACAGTTATGAAGATGGAAGGGACGGTCGGCCGGGATTCGCAAGAGGAGAAGATTTTCGTCGCGCGCAGCTGTTTGGATTCGGTCCCGAACGCACGAGCACAGAGGAAGAGAGGAATAAGGGTGTCTTAAAGTTACGGATGGGCTTTGCTAGCGGTTTTAATCGGTGCAACTTACATCGGTTTTAACCGCTGCAAATATTTTCAAATTTCTGATGCAATTAGTTGCTTTCGCAGCGGTTTTTAAAATCGGTGCAAAAAACCGCTGCGAAAGGGCTTGTTTTTTAGTAGTGTTATATCGTGCTTGATTACAAAATATGCAATCCATTGAGGATGACAAAATTTCTCCAACAAAACTTGGGAAAATTCTATAAGATGGTAGTGAGAGTTGCAATGCTTTATGGTTAGAATGTTGGCCATTAAAAGACAATCATAAAATTAAGTTAAGTGTTGCAGAGATGAGGATGCTCAGGCGGATGAGTGGATTCACTCTTAGAGAAAGAATGCGAAATGAGTATATACGTGAAAATGTTGGAGTAACTCAAGTGACAGATAAGATTAACGAGAGTTGCCTTAGATGGTTTAGTCACATAAGACATCGGCCTTCCGATGACCTAGTTAGGAGAGTTGATGAATTAGATTTGACCTATATTAAGAAAGGTAGAGGTAGTCCTAAAAAGACTTGGTTAGAAAATACTAGAAATGACATTTTTTATTAGATTTAAATGAAAATTTTGACCCTTAACCGAACACAATAGAGAAAAATGATTCATGTAGGCATGTAGCTGATCCCACATAGTGGTATAAAGGCTTGATATTATTGTTGTATTCAATGTGCAGTAATAATGTGTGTACTGACTAATAAGATGTATGAAAGAATCTAGGAGGGCTTTGATTATCATAATGCAAGCTTTAATGATCATATGAATGCTTATGGGATTCATAACTCTTTGCTTAATCATAATATAGTTTGTAATGATGATGTTCTTTAACTAATACTGCATATGAGTCATCCATATCTGCAATTAAAGGGTACTGAACATAGATATCATGATAGGTATCGGAATAATACATACTGGGACACCTATTACGGCAATACTGTGAATCTTCTTAATCGCTGTTGAAATCATATTTTGTGATGCCTAGAATTATATGTAGTAATACTGTGAGGAATAACTTGATGGAAAGCAAATTGAGGTGAGTTGAAGGCCCTTTTTTGGGGTTAGGGGCAAGAGGGGAGGCAATCTTGTTGTCAATAATCTTTCATTATATTGATTCTTTGTTTTAATCTTTCCTCCAAATAAAAAAGCCTTCATGGAGAATCTTTAGCATTTTTTTGTAAGGAAATGCTTTTATAATTGCTTAGATTTTCTTCATGGAATTTCTCTGTATCAGGATGGATGCTCCCTAGCCCTTATGATCGTTAAGGCAGCAGTATGTACAGCTACCATACTTTTTTCTATTAGTTGTGTTCATGGTGTCAATACAGTGTTGAAGCTTCTCATCTCAAGCAAAACTGATGTTCTCCATGAAAGTTAAGGAGTTGATCACCAACTCAGTCAATAAAAGTTGCTGCTAGCGATGATTATTGCTGCAAATGTAGTTTGTGAAATGAATGAACCTCTGTGTTTTGATTTTCTTTCACTAGATAGCACTATCGATTTTCTGCTGAACATAACCATTAGATTTCTGTAAACTTCTTGGCAACCATGCCACGTTTTTAGATATCCCTCTGCTATTTTTGGTGCATTTGAATCTCTGAAAGGAGTCAGAGGACATAGAAGTTATATGAAGAGTGGACTATGAAGTTTAATTTGACAATCACTGACCGTGCAGACTGAATAACTAGAAGCAATTTATAAGATTTGATGTATATATTCTATTTTATTTTCCTGAAATTCTTCTTCCCTTGTTGCCTTTTTACTTGAAGAACATTTTCATGGGGAATTGTCTCTGTTGCTTGACTGGTTATGTGTCCAGATTTTAGAAGTAGGAGGTTGGTTGATTGAAATTTGAAGCCTTGATGCATCTACTTCTTAAATTTCGCATAGGTGCACTGGTGCATTTTATACAAATGAATAATTATCTTATTACCAAGCTTCTTCACTTGAATATTTCTTAAAAAATTCATGGATAGTATTTTAAACAGGTCAACTTTCTTGAATTTCAGCTGTGTATATCTATTATTGGCGATTTTTTAATGTTCCAGATTCTTTATTGAATTACCAAAATAAACATTATTCTTTTTTTTTTCCCTCCCTACATTGCAGGCTTATGGAGTTCATATAAATGGATATGTAGGCAAGAGTGGGCAGAAATTTCTTTGGGTAGCGAAGAGAAGTGATTTCAAGCCTACCTATCCAGGAAGGCTTGATCACCTCGTAGCTGGAGGCTTGGTTCGTAAATTTCTCTCCTGAAACAATTCATCTTTAAGTGTTTACGTTGCATTACTTGGATGGAGATTCAAACTGCAGCCCTTAATTGTAATGAAGAAAGAAGGAATAATATAGGTGACACATTGGTGTGGTCGCTTTTGTTACATGTAAAATATGGTGATACTATTTTAATTGGGCACAGTTTAGCTTTCTCATCTTGCTTACCTGTGATATTCTTGTAGAATCTCCTTCTAGTCACAACAGAGGAAGAAAAACAAAACGGAGAACAGAGAAGAAGATAAAAGAATGAACAGTGAAAAGTGCTTCTTCCTTGGCCTTTGTGTTGCTTTTACAGGAGTATTTAATCTCATGTGAGTCCAATCATGAACGGCTGAGATTAGGTAGTTGTACACAAACGGTGAGAATTAAAGAGTCAGAAAAAGCACTCTGTTACAGCAGAGTAGTGGAAGCATGAGTTGATATTTAGCCTTGTATCAGCTTGCTTATCACCTCCCCTCAAGCTAATATTCGGCTCCAGAATAGTTAGCTTGTGTCGTAGTAACTGGAAGCGTTGTAAAGACAATGCTTTTGTAAATATATCAGCCCCAACTGGTCGGTGGTATGAATATGAGTAACTTGTAGCAGTTTGTTGGCAATGCATTCGCGAACGAAATGAAAATCAATTTCGATATGTTTGGTTCGCGCGTGGAATACTGGATTATTGGCAAGCACAATGGAAGAGACATTGTCACAAAATAAAGTGGTAGGAGAGGAAGAAGTGATACCAAATTCAGTCAATAATCTTTGAAGCCAAATGATATCCATTGCAGCTGTTGCAAGTGCTCGATACTCTGCTTCTGTAGAAGATCTTGCAACAATTTTTTGTTTCTTTACTTGCCAAGAGATAAGATTACTGCCTAAAAATGCACAATAACCGGTTGTAGACTTTCTATCAATAGGATCATCTGCCCAATCAGAGTCAGCAAAAGCATGAAGGCAAAGTGTAGTTGCCACTAGTGGTAAGCCGAAAGAAAGAGTTCCTTTGAGGTAGCGTAAGAGTCGCTTGAGAAGTTGAAAATGAACTTCTTGAGGTTGATGCATATGTCATATGTTGGCATAATCGATTTACTGTATATGCAATGTCGGGTCTAGTTAATGTTAAGTACTGTAGAGCTTCGACAAGTTGTTTGAAGGAATCGGCTTGAGCAGATGAAAGAAGAGATGAGCCACTGAATGCAGTTTTGGAAGCTATAGGAGTAGAGATTGGCTTGCAATCAGCCATACCAGCTTTTTGAAGAATATCTGCAGCATACTTTGATTGAGATAAGTGAAAACCGATTGGAGTATGGAGGACTTGCATACCAAGGAAATATGAAACGCTGCCAAGGTTTTTCATGTTAAACCGGTTATGCAGAGCAGATAAAAGATGGGTAATCTTTGAACCATCGTTACCAGTTAGTAATATGTCATCGACATATACTAAAATATAAATGACAATTGAGTCCTGCTTGTAAATTAACAGAGAAGGGTCGGCTCGACTGTGATGAAACCCATAAGTAACAAGGAATGTGGAAAAAGTCTCAAACCATTTTCTTGGAGATTGTTTAAGAACATATAAAGATTGTTTTAATGAGACAAACGTAATCCGGATGCAATGAATCTTTAAAACCGGTTGGTTGAGACATAAAAATTGTGTCGGCGAGAGTCCCATGAAGAAATGCATTCGAAATATCGAGTTGAAGCACATTCCATTTAAAAGTTGCAGCTACGATAAGAAAAACACGGATAGTTGGAAGTTTAGCTACAGGACTAAACGTTTGAGAATAATCCAAACCGTGTTGTTGGTTGCAGCCGAGAGCAACGAATCGAGCTTTATGCCTTGCAATTGAACCATCTGAATTATACTTAGTTCGAAAAATCCATTTACATCCCAGCACATTTTGATTTGGAGAAGGTGGAACTAATGTCCACGTTCCTTGTTGTTGTAGAGCAGCAAACTTAGTGGACATGGCTTGGCGCCAAGCTAGCTGTTTGACAGCTTCAGTGTAACAAGTTGGATTAGTTGAAACAACATTAGTACTCATATTGATAATGTGTTTTGGTTTTAAATTACCAGTCCTTAGCCGTGTGATCATACCTGTTAACGGCGAATGGCGCACCATGGCGCAAAGGTCCATTTGGAGCCATGGCGCATAGCGCACGGCGCGGCGCGCGCTATTTTGAACATGGCGCAAGCTATATAAAAATTATAAAATAATAAGCATGAATATAAAATATTATTAAAAATGAAAGACAAGCTGTCATAATAATAAAAGACAATCATAACATATATAAGTTCAACTAAGTAACATCCAAATATCTCATAATTAAAATATTACAATCTTTTTTTAAAAGATCAAACAAGAATTTAATCTACTCTTCTTGTGAATCATCATCATCATCAGCAAATGTTAAAAAAGCTTCATTATCTTCTTCAACATTGTCTCCTACTTCATAATCCTCTTCATCACCCTCCTCATCATCATTCTCAATAGCAACATCATGCCTAATTGAAGATTCTCTCTTTCCCTTTAGATCTTTCCCGAATATTATAGCTTTTATCATAAACACCAGTAGCTTTAGCAACACTTCTCCAAGTTAAATCTTCCTCTCCATCAATAAAGTCATTTTCTTCATCAGACTCATCATCTAATTTTCCTGTTAGCCATCATTTGCATCATCTATCTCAGTCAAAGAAATTATTTTTAAATATAAAAAATATTCATAAGTATACCGAAATTTAAAAACAATTTGGCGCGCTATTTTGCGCCGTGCGCAATGCGCCATGGCTCACATGTGGCGCAAATAGCGCGCGCTATTTTAAACACATGCGCCTCGCCATGAACATGGCGCCGTAGGTGCGCCGCGCCGCGCCGTGCGCCATGGCGCGCGCTATTTTGCGCCATTGACAACTATGCGTGTGATCATAGGATGAGTGGAACGATTTGTTGGCCGAGCTGAAGAAGGGATATTGGGTATATTTGTGGCAGAGGATGGTGCAATATTGGGTAGAGAAGATATGGGAGGAGACGAACTGAGGCTCGGTATGGAGAGAGTAAGATCATGTTGAAATGGTTTTTGAGGAGATTGATGATTGGAAACAGGAACGAGAACTCTAGAAGAGGGTACACACGCGGGAGTGAAAGAAGATGGCTGAACAAAACTCGGCACTAGAAGAGCTGGAGGTGTATAAGATGGTAACGTAGAGGAAGGTGGAGGCTGAGTAATTGACATTTGAGCAAAAGCAAAGACTGTTTCAACAAACTTCACATGACGTGAAATAAAAATTTTTGCTGATTCAATGTTGAAACAGTAGTATCCTTTTGCATTGGGTACATATCCAATAAACACACAAGGTAAGGATCTGGGATGAAATTTGGTGGAGGCAATTGATGGAAGAAACGGGTAACAAAGGCATCCAAATACTTTAAGCATAGTGTAATCTGGATGTTTGGAATAAAGAAGATAGAATGGAGATTTGTTTTGTTTGGACAAAGGTAGCAATCTATTAATCAAATAAACTGCAGCAAGAACGGCATGTACCCAAAACTGATTTGGTAATTTGGAATCAAGAAGTAAAGAGCGTGTTGTTTCAAGAATGTGACGATGTTTGCGCTCCGCAACACCATTTTGTTCGGGAGTGTAAGGACAAGTAATTTGATGAAGAATTCTACATTGAGATAAAAAGGATTGAAAAGATTTTGACGAATATTCTCCTCCTCCATCCGATCTTAAGCATTTGATACGTTTATTGAATTGATTTTCAACTAAACATTTAAACTGAAGAAAAACAGTAGATACATCGGATTTCACTTTTAACGGGTATAACCAAGTGAAACGAGAGAAATCATCAATTCACATAATATTTAAAACCATGTAATGATAGAAAGGGGGAAGGACCCCATACATCACTATGTATTAAGTCTAACACTTGAGTAGACCTAGATAAAGAAGAAACAAAGGGTAACTTGTGACTTTTAGACATATCACAAGTGTTACATTGACTATCTGACGACAAAGACAAGGACAACGAACGACAGTATTTAGGTAGCTGCAAAAGAACGGGATGAGAGGGATGACCAAGACGTCGATGCCATAGTTGAGTATTGGAGCAGATTGCTGAAAAAGCAGACTCAACTTGAGGAGGACGTCGCTTAATTTGAAGTGGGTAGAGTCCTCGAACAGTAGGACCGTGAAGGAGAGTTTGTTTGTTCGTCGGGTCCTGAATACGATAACCACGAGAATCAAATGTAACAGCACAACAATTATCCGTTGTAAGACGATTGATAGAAATAAGATTTTTAGTTAAGTGGGGAACAAGATGAAGAGGGGAAAGATGAAGCTTATGGTTGGGAGTAGGTAATAAACCTTGACCAGTATGAGTTATCGGTAGAAGATCACCATTGCCAACCATGACCTGCTGAGCACCTTTATATGAATATAAGATAGCTGCTAAGTTCTGATCAATAAGTAACCATGAATAATATTCGGGGTTAGGTTTAAGAACATTAGCAGATGTAATGAGTTTAGGTGGTTTTGAAGCAGAACCATCCAAAAAACCCTCGAATCCGTTTGCAGTGAACAACTTCAGAATTTGCGTCTTCCATAATGTATAATTTTCAGCTGTAAGCTGAATATTGAGAACGGATTTCACATTAGTCATGAGAAACTTCAACTGCGGCGGAATGGGAACATCGTCAATCTTGATTGGAGAGGAAGTTTGAGAAGAAGTGGAAGACTGAGAAGGATTTTCCATCACAAAAAAAAAAAAAAAACAAAAAAAACTTCGGAAAAAAATCGTGAGGCGCTAAACCCGCTCTGATACCAAGTAGAATCTCCTTCTAGTCACCGTCTTCATACCTGCAACAGAGGAAGAAAAAAAAAACGGAGAACAGAGAAGAAGATAAAAGAATGAACAATGAAAAGTGCTTCTTCCTTGGCCTTTGTGTTGCTTTTACAGGAGTATTTAATCTCATGTGAGCTCAATCATGAACGGCTAAGATTAGGCAGTTGTACACAAACGGAGAGGAATAAAGAGTCAGAAAAAGCACTCTGTTACAACAGAGTAGTGGAAGCATGAGTTGATATTTAGCCTTGCTTATCAGCCTGCTTATCAATTCTAACTATTTTGATACATGTAAAATATTCTGTGAAATATTTATGTAAAATGTTTTTTAGTTACTCTTTCGGTTCAAAATGCTTAAGAAATAATTGGTTAACGTCTCTATATCAGTGATGTGCTCTTTAAGAATGTGCTCTATTGAGATCTTGGATTTGTTTTGATACTTGCATACTCCTTAAATTTCTTTGAGAATCATAATAAAATTTTTTCAGTTATAGCCTATTTACTTGGAGTTTCTTGTATTGAAAATTATTGTTTTTATGATATTGAGTGTTAAAGAATGTGCTCTATTCTTGTCTACTCAGTGCTTAAGTGGTAGCCCATATGCTTATGTTCTCTCCCGTGTAATTGAATGCAAAGAAATTTACTTTTATTCATGTCTTCTGTGCTGTATGTTTATGTCTTGAATTCTCTAGTGCTTTAGACCTTATTGTGGAATTGGTTTAAGACGATAGCATAACTTACCTAATCTGAGTACTCAAGTATCAAAAGTGCTGGAACTTCAGTAAAGGTCGTTTTTTTGTACTCTACTGATATTTTGAATTTTGTATCACTGCGCTTCTCATGGCCTTTCAATAGCCCTCGCAACAAATTCTGTCATTCTGAATTGATTTTACGTTTGTACTAACGTGGGCTGATTCTTCTTAGTATAAGTTGTGTGTGTGTGTGTGTTTCCTTGAATTTAAGTGTCTGCCATTTTTAGATGTCTGATAGCAGAATTTTCTGTATAATTGCTAGAAGTTTTCTGTCTGCAATTGGAACGCTACATTAATAGGCATGCAAATGCGTCACAAACTTTTAGGGGCAACGGCATATACCAAAAATTCAAACTTTCTAAACATAGATGAACCAAGTGTCATTCATGCATTTTAATTTGGTTGAACAATTTAAAATTGTTTCAGGCTCATGGCTGTTTAGGAAAACCATCCATGAAGGAGAATATGCTATGGATTACAGCTCTTCAAAATCCTTAAGATAATTAAGAACTGGTCTTTTTATTATTGATACTTATTTGTGTTTTTGAAATCCTGAGTTTGCTTGTATATTTTCATTCTAATCAGTGAATGTTCTTTCAGTAGTATTAGTTTATTTATTAAATCCCGGATTTCCAAATGCTTCCGAACTTACTGGTAGACGCTTGCATGGACATATTTTGGTACAAAATTTTATTTTTCTAGCTTTAGGCTATTTGGGATCATCTTGAAGTGAATGTCCTTTTTTCCTCATGTATTGTTATGTTAGTAGTACTAAAATCATGCTAATAAATTCTGAATTCAGCCATTTGGGATCACGTGCAAAGAAAATCTTGTGAAAGAATGTGAGGAGGAAGCTGGCATTCCAAGGTTTATCGCTGAAAAGTAAGTTTACCATCTCCA